TACGCCACCACTGCCTGGCGGGACCGTCTAACTGGTATGCGGTGAAGTCTGGTCCTCTCAACTCCACTAAACCCAAAGTCTGTAGCCGCTCTTGGCAAGTAATTAGAAACTCGTGGGCATCATCCCCCACTGCCCTAGAAAACCTCGGCGGTGATAGTCTAAGGAACACCCCGAGCATCTTCTGCTCCCATAGTGGCATGACTCCCTCCAAATCGTCTGGCTGAACAACCGGTGCCGCTAGCTGCTGAACAACCGGTACCGCTGGTGTAGGCTGGCCCTGCGGTACTGGAACGGCTGGAGCTGGTGCCTGCTGCATGCCACCAATGACAGCTAGTATTTGTACGAGCATCGCCTGTATATCTGGAGCTGCCACAGGCTCGGGTGGTAGCTGGGCTGGTCCCAGGCCCATCGGCTGCTGCTGTGTTGGAGCTGCTGGTGCTGGAACTCTGGCACGACCTCGAGGTCGGCCTCTACCCCTAGCTGGGGATATACCACGCGTGCGAGCCATCCCTAAAAAAAAGAGTGGTACAAGTAAGATTTTCAGAAACCGATAAGACACACAATGCACGACAGTGATACAAAAGCGACACGTTCCTAAAGACATCCTGTAGCCTCCCGAAGATAAGTAACGGACGTCTCCGTACCGATCTGCAGGACTCTACTAGACATTAGCTCTGTACAAGTGAGACCGACGAACCTGGGGCTCTGATACCAATTTGTCACGACCCGATTTATCGAGTCATGATGGCACCTACTATAACCCACCAGCAGGTAAGCCAACCCGTAACCCGGAACAACAAGTAATGGGTCTGAGGGTAGAAATTAAACAGGAGTAGGCAAATAACAATATAAACAGACGGAAGCAAACCAAAAACATATAAACAAATAAAGATCCCTCCCAGAACCTGGAAGTCACTAGTACAGAGCTACTAACAAAATGAGTACAAGTCCCAAAAGAAGTAACGGGTCTGAGGGTAGAAATTAAACAAGAGTAGGCAATTAACAATATAAACAGGCGGACGCCAACCAAAAACATATATACAAATAAAGATCCCTCCCAGAACCTGGAAGTCACTAGTACAGAGCTACTACAAAATGAGTACAAGTCCTAAAACCGGACAACAGAGACTGGACTGTCTCGAAAGGAATAAGACAAGTCTATATATACAGATGGAGACTGAAATAGTACAAAACGCCGTGTGCTCACCCCCGTCTCCGGATAAGTCTACTCCAGGCTAGATCAACGCTGGCTACTAGTGCTCGGACCTGCATCACAAAATAGATGCAGAGCGTAGCATGAGTACCAAAACAACAGGTACCCAGTAGGCATCATCGGCCGACTGAGCAAGATAAGCAAAAGTGAACTGAAATGCGAATAAAGGGTCACATCAAGTGCAAAGAGTAGTAAATAGGGGGTATGTACACGAGCGTACAGGCAACAAAGACAAGCAATCTAACTAACTCCGCCGGGCTCCCATAAACCCGACGGGTACGCTCGTGCACAATAAAAGAAACCACCTGCACGGACCCCCATAAGCCCGGCAGATGGACCGGCAGTTGAAGTAAAATAATGGAGCTAGAATGTCTATCACAATATTACCAATTTCCGGACTTTTAACTGAACCATTCCCAATTATATTCTAAGATCTCATTACGTCCCGGACTTTAACCGGAATCTCTTCAACCTCCAAAACCTCAACCTACAGATGAGAGTAATCAAGACTAAACTGAAGCTTTAGTGAGGAATCGGGAGTACAGCACGTGCAAGCTGGACCACGGACTCGAACCGGGTGCTGTAGCCAAAGGTCGGGCACGGGTGGGCTGGACCGCGGACTCGAACCGGGTACTGTAGCCAAAACCAGATCACAGGTAAGCTGGACCACGGACTCTAACCGGGTACTGTAGCTAAAACCAGATCACAGGTAAGCTGGACCACGGACTCTAACCGGGTACTGTAGCTAAAACCAGATCACAGGTAAGCTGGACCACGGACTCTAACCGGGTACTGTAGCTAAAACCAGATCACAGGTAAGCTGGACCACGGACTCTAACCGGGTACTGTAGCTAAAACCAGATCACAGGTAAGCTGGACCACGGACTCTAACCGGGTACTGTAGCTAAAACCAGATCACAGGTAAGCTGGACCACGGACTCTAACCGGGTACTGTAGCCAAAACCAGATCACAGGTAAGCTGGACCACGGACTCTAACCGGGTACTGTAGCTAAAACCAGATCACAGGTAAGCTGGACCACGGACTCTAACCGGGTACTGTAGCTAAAACCAGATCACAGGTAAGCTGGACCACGGACTCTAACCGGGTACTGTAGCTAAAACCAGATCACAGGTAAGCTGGACCACGGACTCTAACCGGGTACTGTAGCTAAAACCAGATCACAGGTAAGCTGGACCACGGACTCTAACCGGGTACTGTAGCTAAAACCAGATCACAGGTAAGCTGGACCACGGACTCTAACCGGGTACTGTAGCTAAAACCAGATCACAGGTAAGCTGGACCACGGACTCTAACCGGGTACTGTAGCTAAAACCAGATCACAGGTAAGCTGGACCACGGACTCTAACCGGGTACTGTAGCTAAAACCAGATCACAGGTAAGCTGGACCACGGACTCTAACCGGGTACTGTAGCTAAGAATCAATATCCAACCATACGTCGCGGGAAATATCACCAAACCGATTACCATAAATAATCATTTCAGTCCGACCCTCATATACCCCAAATCGCCGAGGAAGTATCCAATAGTGAGTAAGCTAGACCACGGACTTTAACCGGGTACTATAGCTGATAAAACACAGGGCATTATGGATACAAGGTCATAAGTTGAGTTACCGCCTAGCTAAGGCTCAGTCTATCAGACTCAAGTCTGCTATATCAGTCTACAAGGAGCTGACCGTCCGAAACGACGTCGGAAGAAGTTCTACTGCTCAACGACATCCGAAATCTCGCAAGTCTATGGCAACACTAGTCTAAGCCTAGACTAAGGCCAAACATACTTCAAATCTTTATTATCATATACACCACAAGGTATGAATATTCAATAATATCAAGAGACATGCTGTCAATAATCCAAACACTTTCCCGAAAATAATGTCTAAGGCAGGAAATATAGAAATTTAGCATGCTTGACACCCGAACCCCTCCATACTCAAGCAAATCAATAAACAAATGCCTAAACATGCTCAATCTCATGAGAGAAAGCCATAGCCTACCTGAAAGCCGATCACGCGTGCTCCAACTCACGGTACCGGATCTTTTCCCCTCCGAACGGTCTCCAAATGCTTCCCCAGTAACAACAGGTTAATCACCTCGTCATTACGAATATATTGACACTAAAATTATATTTTTCGGAGACGGACCCAAAATCGGGTCTAAAACGGGATTGTGGGGCCTACAATTGGAATCTCGAAAACGAATCCGTGGAAACGTCCCAAATACCTTACTAAACTAATACCCCAAAATTTAGCACAACCAGAAGCCTAAAACATAGCAAATTAGCCACAACAATTAAAATGGGCAGTCCCTTGATCACCAATTTCTGGAAAAACGAGACCCTTTCAACCCAAACAGATTATACCACGACAATCCTTGCGAAAAACTCTACAAGTTAGCCACAAGAATGACTCAAAACGGACCTAAGATGATCAAGATCTCACATTTCAAAATTCAACAACAATACAATCCGGAAATCACCCTGGCAGTGGCTAAAATCGATTCCTTACTTCAAACGAAGCCTCCCCTCGCGTTTCTGAGATCACCGCTAGATTCCCCACGAAATTGTCTTGAAGTTAGCCTTTTGATGGACCTAATTTGGACTTGATTTCCATTCGGAGATTGGTTCGATGAAAAGTGGGTCCCACACCCAGTATCATTTGAGCCAGATTTCACAACTGCCACCTAAAGCCTCGGAAAGTGAACAAAGGGTCGTTCTAGACCAAAATCGATCTTTCGAAGCTAAACTAGCTGTCAGAATTTTCATCTGAGCACGACTTCCAAGAAGGTTGACCAAAATCAACTTTTCAAGTTATAAAAATCTCCAAAACAGGGAAACGGGCCTAAGACCCAAACGAACGACCAGGCGACCGAACAGTCAGTGCCAGCAAGTCATAAATGACTTAGGGTCGCTACAGGAATGCTCTATACGAGGGAAAAAATTCTTTAATTTAAAAATGACCTGGAGGGTCATTACACACAACATGTGAGTTTAAAACATGTTATTTTACACTCTCCAGTATATGCATCTAAATTTTTTTTACAAGAAAATCATCTCAACATGCGAGTTCACAAAATGACATCCTACGTTCTCCTATATGTACATCCAACATTTATTTTTTCAGAAAATTCTCCATCAACTCAACCTTTGGCACCACAATATACGAGTTTGTGAAAAAATAATTGTGTGGTTATCTAGCCAGCATTATTGTTGAATCATAACCACCTGATAAGAAATGACAGAGCACTGCTAACCGATTGACAACAAATGGCTAGAAGAAAGAGTGATGTAGCAATAAGCTAGGGGAGCACCGCCAATAAATATTCTACAAATGAAAAGAAGAAACGAAGTTGGAGATTCAAATACAAAAGAGATTGTTATTGACTGTACCAATGAAAAGAAGATACAAATTTTGCATGTGTATCATCTATCATTTTATTAGTATAGTTTAAATGACTTTTAAATATGTCATTCTACA